AATGAAAACTACCTGTAACTGTGTCAGATTGAGGACAGGTAACAAAGGTTAAAGTTAACCTTGACCTTGAGAAGGAGCCTATGAATTTGAAGTTTCAGATCCCCGTGAAGATTCTTGCATGGTATCAGTTGGTGTAGGAATGCTATCATTCTCAGAAAAATTATAAAATGGGACTTGTGAGACCTGTCTACAATGAGAAGTAGAATCTGAATCATTCTGTGATCCTTGCATTGACATGTGACTGATATTTACAAACTATGTTTCAATTGGCATCTGTGAATGTGTTCTGGAAAGATCAATATTGACTATAATTGGACAATTAGAAACTGTTTACATTTGTCTAACCACTTTTGTGATTTTAGGTCTCTCAACCTTGGCTGGAAAAATTGACTCATCATGTAAAACATGCCTGGATAGAACTAACCTCCTTGACTCCAAATTGTAGTAGATAACACCTTTATACCCAGGAGCATACCCTAGAAACACACTTACAGAGGTCCTAGGTTGAAGTTTGGAATCATTATAATGTCTTAAATATGGATACACAGCTGATCCAAATATCTTCAAATCATGTAACTATGGTGATTTATTAAACAAAGTGTAATAAGGAGATGCCTTCTGCAAGGTTCTACTTGGCATTTTATTGATCAAATACACTGCATGAGCACAAGCATGATACCAAAGTTCTTGAGGTAATCCAGCAACATTCATCAATGTTATAGTAGTTTCAATTATATGTCTATGTTTGCTCTCAACTAAACCATTTTGTTGAGGTGTGTAAGGGCAAGAAATTATGTGAATCATCCTTTTGGAGGCAACAAAATCCTTAAAAACTTTATTGACAAACTCACCCCCTCCATCAGATTGCATACTTTTGATCTTTATTCCAAATTGAACTTCAACAAAATTGTAGAACTGAACAAAAATTGAGAAGACTTCAGATTTATTGAATGGAAAAATTCATACATGTCTAGTACAATCATCCACAAAGGTAACATAAAATCTATAGCCTTCAATTGACTTGACAGATGTTGGCCCCCAAACATCCATATGAATTCTTTCAAAAGGAAAAAAGCATCTCACAGATTCAGAAGCAAAAGGTTTCTTAGCTATCTTTCCATGAATACACCCAGTACACATCCTATGCACATCATCTATAGCATGAGACATTTGAGACTTAACTAACATGACAGACAATACTTCATTTGTTGGATGTCCCAATCTCTGATGCCACATTAAAGACTTCACCAATTGTCCAATAAACATTGCTGAAGATGAAAACGTTGAGGCAGAGATCTGAAACAATTCTCCAGGCTTAATCCTTCCTTGGTACAAGATTTGTTTTGTTGCCTTGTCCTGCACAAAAAACAATGTGCCATCACAAATAAACCAGCATTTATTGTCTTTGCACAGTTAAGTCACAAATAAAAGATTAATTGCTATTGAAGGAACATGTAACACTTGATTCAGTTTTAGATAACTGAAGGGTGTTTTTATCATAGTATTTCCAATATTACGAATTGATAATCCCTGACCGTTCCGAATTTTTATTGTTTCTGCACCTTCAAAGGGAGTTATATTGTTCAAACTCGCAATGTCAGAGGTCATATGATGGGATGCTCCAGTATCAAGAATCCATGTTGAATTCTGTGCAGAAGTCTCAGGTACAGTATTATGAGCAGCCATAGCATGGCCTTGATATGATGCTTGATTCTGATCAGAGACATTTGGATAAAACCCTGGAGCTTGATAGGAATAATGTGCCATGAAATGAACTGATATAGAAGTGCCTTGTTGCTGAGAAAATAATGAACCATATGGAATTGGAGGCACGGATGAAGAAGTAGGGAATGTTGGTGTCTAAGAAATAGGTGGCCTAGAAGGTTGATATGCATAATTTCCCCTGTGGTAACACTCAAGTGCAGTGTGGCCACACCTTCCACAAATCTGGCACTCAGTTGAATAACCAGTAGTAGGTGATTGAGAGCCCCTGAAAAAACAGTTTGGAGCAGTGTGACCTCTTCTTTGATAGATTTGACATTCAGGATGCAAAATTGTTCGTGACTCAGTATTTCCAGACCATGTATTATTGTGTCTGTACCCATTAAACCATTTTCCTTTGTAATTTGACTTATATCCTCCATTATTCCTCTGTTGACTACCATTGTATGGCCTTAGTTGTTGTTGTTGCTGCCCACTATGATATTAAGTTGCACCGGACCATTGCCCAGAACCTGAATCGGTATGATTACCAACAAAACCAGTTCCATAATCAAAGGTTTGACTAGGAAAATAAGAAACACCTCCAAGTAACTGAGAAGTGGACCCTGGTGGCACAGAACTATAAGGAACCTGAGTGATTCTTCCTCCAGTAGTTGACTCAACATTAGACGAATTAGAAGTCGAAGCACCACTGTGAAGTTGTGAGGTACCAGACAAACTAGATGATGCACTATTCATATACAAAGCTGACATGCTATTAGACAATGAATTAATCATTGTTTCATTTTCTCTTTCAGCACTAAGCAATAAAGCTCTGAATTCTTTCATTAAGATAATAGTATCCCGAGCCAAAATTACAATTCTTATATTTGCATACTCCTTTGGCAGTCTAGCTAAAGCAGCAATAATGACATCATTATCTGAAACAAACTCTCCTGCTGCAGTTAATTAATCCCTAATAGATTTAAGCCGAAGCAGATACTTATCCACCGAGTCTCCACCCTTTTGAATGGTATGTAACTCAGTCTTCTAATGATTAACACCAGTTTTTGACATAGAAGCAAATCTTTCCTTAAGACTCAACGAGGCATCTCTAGCAGTTCTACAACCAATAACATGTTCAATCGCATCATCAGACAATGTAGCAATTAACAGACTCAACAAAGCCAAATCTAGTGATTCCCATTCTTGTTAATCTTCTGACACATCCTTACTCACTCCATTTTCAGGACTGACAGTAAATTTGGGTGGACAATTCACAGATCCATCGAAATGATCAAACAATTTGTAGCCTTTCAAAACTGACTGAAACTGAAAAACCCACTTAGTATAATTGTTATCACTAAGTTTTATGGTTAACATACCCAACAAACCTTCAATCTTCACAGTAGACGAAACCATGATATCAACTTCAACAAGGAACTAAACGTTCAAATCTTTCACAAGAATCACACACTGTAATCTTCAAAATTCAACTAACTACAACAGAAATGAATAGCATCGGCTTTTCAAACTCACAATCTTGATTAAGCAAATTCAACAGGCATCAACCTTCTTGAGAGCAATCGAATTTAGAAACTAAAAAACTTCATCGATGGACAACAAATTTTCTTACATAAACATTCTATCAAACAGTTTATCTGCAAGTTTTCAAGATAAGAAACTATACACCTGAGATCACCTGGAAATTTCCACCATTGAATCTTGCAGATCATGGCCAAAGAACTCTCCTCAATCACTTCAGAACTTTCAGAACGCACCTCGAAGAGCCACAGATACAGCGGAAGATTCACCATGGATCGCACCTCGGCAATGATACCATGATAACAGTACCAAGAAACTAAGAAGAATTTCAATAATATCGAAGAAGAAGAAGAAGAAACCAAGCAATAGTATCGAAGAAGAAGAAACAAAGGAAAGAGAGAAAGCACACTAAATCTGAACCGTTTTTCATTAACTGCACACAGTGCTCACATACCGGTACATATAGAGAATTCCTAACTAACTAACTTGCCTTTGTGACTTATCCAATACAACCATACCTATTGTATCTATCCCTATCTCTTCATATCAACCAATAGCTTGTTGACATCTATTATTAATTTCCATCATATTCTCTAAAATTTTGAAGATATTCCGCCAAACATTATTTTTCACATAATGTTGAAATTAAACCAAAATTATGGTGGTTTTTCAGTGTTGAAATTAAACCGATATTTCCATCATAATCTCTAAACATTGAAAAACCACCATAATTTCAACATTATTGTTTTGCCAATTAGCACATATCTATAGCCAACCTTGTATTTGGTTGGTAATTTTCACCATGTAACTGTTTTTAAATGTTTTTTTCTTTGTTGATAAATTTAGTAATAAGTTGTTTATGGGATCCTAGTTGTTTTCCAAGAAGAAGAACAATTACCCAAAGAAGAGAGAATGCTAAAACTAGATTTATAGGAGTGTTCACAAAAGCAAAAATGCTATTCTTATTACATTTTTTATGTCATTAGCATCCATATTTACGTATTGGGACCAATCGTTATCACTAGCAATCATATTTACGTTTTCAAGTTACTTAGTACTACGGTCTAGTGGTATTCCTTTTTATTTGTATGTAAGAAGTCTTAGGTTCGATTCTTACGCAAAAGCAAATTTAAAACATACTAATACTAACCCTTAATATATATAATATTGTTGGTAAAAAAAATATTTACATTTTCAAGGCACGTATTCAAAGGAATTGCCACTCTTTAATTTTTATTTTTATCTATTGTCACTTACCAGTAAAAAAACCTCCATTATATAAAAAGTCGAAAAAGCAGTGACGTCAACCGCCTTAAGGCCCTCAAGAGAAATGTGAAACGTAGAAGGCTATGAAGTCATTCAGATTTTCCAGCACACCAACTTTTTCAAACAAGAATCCAATTTGGCAACAACTTCTTTGAGAAAGAATTGGCCAATCCTACTCCTTTGGTAACAGTATACCACACTAGCTATACCATTATCTAATAGATCTAATAGGATACTACTTGCATTCGGTTTGGAGTTCAGATTTCATAGTCTTACCTGTGTCTTAATTTATTTCTACATAAAAATCATCTGAATTGGATATTGTTTAGTCATTCAAATGGTAAGTAATATATTAATAGTGAATCTTCCATTGTTTTGAATGATTTTTTATAAAGATAATATTTAAAAGAAGATTAAGACATTAAAAGGTTCGAATTATGAAATTTTTATAGTAATGTTTATAAATGGGCGAGTGAGTTCATCAAAGGGGGAATGCAAGTATTAAAATGGCTGCGCCATACTATATTCCTCTCCCCTTCTAGACGTCTTCAATGTTTCTGATAGACAACTAAGCGCCGTACGACATTAAAAAGCTACCTTATTTCTCTAAAATGGATCGCAGCAACAACAGAGATGAAAACAATGATCTTGCTCTATCCCTATTGCCAGAATCGGTACTGCCCCGGAATGGTGCGGAGGACAAAGATGAGACACAAGGCCTTTCAATAAGAGTCTGGATAGAGACCATGAAGCTATGGCAAATAGTTGGTCCTGCAATCTTCAGCCGTCTCGCTTCTTACACCATGAACGTCATTACCCAAGCCTTCGCCGGCCACCTCGGCGAGGTTGAACTAGCTGCCATTTCTATTGCCAACACTGTGATTGTCGGCTTCATTTTCGGACTTTTGGTACGGAACACTCACTCTCTGTTTCATTGGATTGAATATGTCATCAGACTAGTAATCTAAAAGCAATTGATAATTAAATTCAAAACCCTAATTTGAGTTTGTGATCTCTGACTGTTTCATAATTTAATTATGTGCCTATTAGTTAGGCATGGCAAGCGCACTAGAAACGCTTTGTGGGCAGGCCTTTGGAGCCAAAAGGTACCACATGCTTGGGATATACTTGCAGCGGTCATGGATCGTGTTGTTTCTATGCTGCCTTGCCCTTTTACCTGTTTACATATTCACCACTCCAATACTTAAACTGCTCGGGCAGACCGACGAGGTGGCGGAGCAGTCAGGAGTGGTGGCGCTGTGGCTCATACCCCTCCACTTCAGCTTTGCTTTTCAGTTCCCATTGCAGAGGTTTTTGCAATGCCAGCTCCAGAACATGGTTATTGCTTGGGTTTCTTTTGTGGGGTTGTTGATTAATGCATTCACAAGCTGGCTTTTAATCTATGTGTTGGACTTTGGGGTTGTCGGTGCGGCCATTGCTTTGGATATTTCTTGGTGGTTTTTGGCTTTGGGGCTCTACGTGTATGCTGCTTGTGGTTGGTGTCCTCAGACTTGGACTGGTTTCTCTATGCAAGCATTTTCTGGGCTTTGGGAATTTATCAAGCTTTCTGCTGCCTCTGGTGTTATGCTCTGGTACTTTTTTTTTTTATCACTTTATGTCCCTTTTTTCAATTGTAATCTTTTCATAGTTTGGGTTTTTATTGATGCTTTGTAGGTTTTGTTATATATGATTTATATGTGCAGTTTGGAGAACTGGTACTACAGAATATTGATATTGATGACTGGTTACTTGAAGGATGCCACTATTGCTGTGGATGCCTTGTCAGTTTGGTATGAGATTCTATTTTTGTACTATTCCAACTCTCTTATTAATTTGTTTAAACCAAGTTTAATTACTCAAATTTAGCTTTCAAAAATTACTATTTAATTTAATACGTATGATCTGCTCTAATTATGCAGCATGACTATAAATGGGTGGGAGCTCATGATTCCTCTAGCCTTCTTTGCCGGAACAGGGTACCATTCTTTAAACTCCTCCTATTTTTATTCTTTATTTTTTTTACAGAAAAATTAAGTTAGAAAATAGTTTTGTGGAATGATTTCGAACCATACATATCAAAATTGATTATAGATACAACTTCTTTAGGAAAAACCCCAAAAAACCAATAAAAATGTTATTACAAAAATATTCTGAGTTCACAAAAGGGTCAGCTGCCCCTAACCTCTTTCAATACGTACCTTTCACACTTTTACAAAAACAATTATAAAAATATAAGTAGAGAGGATAAAAAATTGTAATTTTAATTTCTTAAACACTGCATGAATTTGAGTTATACGAAAAATATATGATTGATTGAAAATAAAAAATCAAATAATTGTGGAAATCTAATATATCATGTAAAGTTTTGAGTTGAGGAAGCTACCATCTTCATGATGTGGATAATTAATGACCATCACTTCACAGTCATAAATGCCTTTTGGTGTATTAGAAAAAATTGTCGGGACCCTTGTTTGTCCTTTTCATAAAACCACTTGTCAATCGAACTTTGCCAAGATATAAAACCATGTTGACCGTTAGGTTGCAGAAAACCTTGTTTTCAGCCAAGTTACCATTTGCATACTTTAACACGTCCTGCCAAAAAGGACAAATAATGCAACTATAAAGCATCGCAAACAATTAAGTGTTTCATTTGTCACGAAAAATCAACGTTTGCGGCCCGAGAAATGTTAGCAATTTTTGTATTGACTTTGCGTATGAATAATATGAATTTCAAGAAGAATAATCATCAAAAAATCACAACACTAATTATGTCCTGCCAAAAAGGATAAATAATGCAACCAAAAAGCATGGAAAACAATTAAGTGTTTCATTTGTCACGTAAAATCAACGTTTACAGCACGAGAAATGTTAATTCTACTCTCATTCTAAAAAAAATTTACGAATATGCTTCAACATGAATTCGATTCTAGCTTCTCTCTGTTTCACTTCCTTCCTAATTCAATTTGTCTCATTCTACTTATGGATTAGCAAATCAACCATAAATGGGTACAAGACGCTAAATTAAGAATGGATTCTCCCAGCATAACCAAACCCTATCACAAAGACTCCTTCAAAAGTTAAGGGCATGTTTGGTATCGTATTAAAAAAAATTAATAATTTTTCATAACATTTCTTAAGATCCAAAAACTTGTTTGGTATGAGATTCAAAATTGTTTTTGAATTTTAATAGTCAAACGAAAGCAAAAATATCTTACAACAATTGACACGCCCCAACCCAGATATCCAAATGACACCTAGATGGCACGTGATGGTCGACACCTAAGGGTGACGAAAGCCATGAGTATGTGAAACGGTGGGGATATAAAGGAATAAACAATTCAAAAACTATGCAAGCAATAACATTCACAAGCAGATGCAACACAAAACAAAACAGAAGTAACTGTAATCCCATTTAAACAATAAAAGAAACAGAGTATTCAACGTTCACAAATCTGAATAAAGATGTACGAATATGTCCAGAGCATACCACTACACGGAGGTGCTAGAGAAAGTAAGACATCAAGTAACAAATGATCAAAAAAAAAAAAAAAAAAAGCCATACTCAAGGAAGGATGCAAGTCACTGGTAGGGAAACGCCTCAATGCTCGGGTCGTACTTTTCGTCACTATGTCCTGAGGGGGCACAAAACAGAAATGGTGAGTAGACCATAATTTATATTAATACTAATATTACGAAAAACTCATTTCTTACTGAACATACTAACCCCATGTTTTGAAAACATATATAATTCTACATATAAGTTTTCTGAAACGCTAACATGCCATAAAATCATTCGTAAAACAAGTACGAGTAAAACCATGCTCAATAATTGTGCTACCATCGCCTAAAGGCAAATCCATAAACCTCATAAATATTGTACTCTCTAGGGGAATCATAGTCGCCTGAAGGCAATACCTGTCCATCACCAAAGGTGAAGCTGTACGACATTGGGTTACGCCAATGAAGAAACATGGTAGGCCCCATCACCCGAAGGTGAAGTTGTACGACTCTAAGTTACGCCGGAGAAGAAATGCATAACATCACACACACCGACACTAGCCCCGAGCTAGTGAAGCTAGGGGTATATCATCAATATCATTAACTCCTCATTCGCCTGAAGGCATTACCTGTCCATCACTCGAAGGTTAAGCTATACAACACTAGGTTACGCCAGTGAAGAAACATGGCAGGCCCCATCACCCGAAGGTGAAGTTATACGACTCCGGGTTACACCGAAGAAGAAATATATACATAAATATCCTCAACTATGTCTTATGGCCATAGACATCTACATACCCGTGTTGTGTGGATGTGTTGTATGATAACCAGCTAGATAAGCACTGAAAACATACCTCAAAAGCTCATATCAAATCCGGAGTTCACATGCTCAAAACCTCATTTCATAAATCGAAGATAATTCACATTCATAAATCCAAATAAATCACAATCGTAAATCCATAGAATTTCATAAGCGAAAACCCAATATTTCATAACCTTTAGTAAAATGTAAATTTGATAAATCATGATTATCTCGTAAACCATAAATGTAGAAATCCAGAAAATATAATATAAAACATATTCGATGCATGAAATATGAAATGCATGCAAGCCTAACATTTTATAAAAACATGCAAGTTTAGAAGGGGTCCACTTATAAGTATTTCACTACTAGAGTGCCACTGGAACTAGAGAGGAATGTATCACTTCCAATCGATGCACCTAAATACAAAGAGAGTACATTCAATAAAACTCTACTAAAACAATGGAATTTCAGAATACGGACAGCGGATTCGGATTCGGCACGTCGAAAAACATAAGTAAAGATCTCAGGTTCCCCCACACCTTGCCGCGCACCGAGTTGAGTCGCCGAAAAGTTTGCCGGAAAAGTCATCAGTGCCACCATGGACGGCGGTGGAGCACAGTACCTTCGGCGAAGGTGCATGTGCTCCACACACTGGCCATGATGCGCACCCACACTCAAGCCACGTGCTGACCCAATAGACTGGGTTGGGATTCGAGTCGGATTTGGGTTTGGGCCTGGGTTCTAGGTAACTGGATTAAACCGGTTATCAATTTGGGTTCTAGGCTTGGGTTATTAGGTTTGGGCTTGGGTTTAAGCCGAATGGATTGGGCCTGGTTCTGGTTTGGGCTGGGTTTAGAGTTGGGTTGTGGGTCATGGGTCGGGTCGACCCAATTTTAGGCGGTGGGTTCAACCGGAATCTAGGCAGACTTTCCGAGCTCTGTTTGAGCTCGATTATACATCATTTGCATTGATTCAAAAGTCAAAATAAAGATACAAAGATAAGGAACAAGAGTATACCAAGATGAGATCAAGTTGAGGTCAGGATCGGCTGGAAAATGGCCTACAACTTATGATCCTTCGTCGAAAAACTGGGAAAATGATTCCTGAGTTGGTTTCTGCATCAAATGTCACCAAAATGTTTCAAAAACTACGTAAACTTACTCCTAAACACAATCTACGAATATTTAGAGTTGTTATCAAGCTCACCTCATCGAAAAATGAGAAGAACTCGCCGAATTTACTTTTTGGACAGTGAAGGTACTATGCAACGAATGAGAAAGAGAAGTGAGGGCTTCCCCTAGTTATGGGCTCGTAGAATTCGTAAGGGAGGAAATGGTGGTGGTGTGAGGGTTGTCGGAGGGAGAAAGGCCGGTGAGGGTGTTCTCTAAGAGGGTTTGGGGTGTAAGTGAAAGAGAGACATGGATAAAGTGAAAGTGTTCTAAAGAGAGAGGGTTCATGGGTCGGGAAGAAAACACCCAGAAATGGGGTGGGGAAATGCCACGTGTCAGCCATGTAGAGGCCTAAAATGGAGAAATATCTCCATTGGTAAAATTATCAAAATACCCTTGTCGTTCAAAAATCATAAAAGCTTCGTTTTAACTCGAAATTCGATTCTAGTCGCGCCTACACGCTCATATCGATGAGAACTACAAAAATAAAATAAACAAAAAAAATTAATACATCAACGGACGAAAGTCAATGAAGGTCAACCTTTCCGTCATTAAGGGTATTTTCATAATTTTAACTAAGAATATTAAACTTTCAAAACGAGTCGTTACAACAACTCCCCATGGAAGAAGTACTATATCAATAAGGCAGACATAAATATTTAAATAGAAGATCAGAGGAGAGAGAGATTAGATAGAAAGAAGAGAGAGAATGAGAGATGATAGAAAGAACAGAGAGATTCAGGGGGAGGAGGGGAAGAAAGACAAATGTGAGAGAAGTAGCAGATAGAGGAGAGAGAAATATAAGAGAGATTCGAGGGATGAGGGGAGGAGAGAAAAAGAAAGGAGAGAGGAAGAGAGAAAGGAAAGCCGGAGCATCGATGAGTTTCGTCAGATGCGGGGAGAAGAGAGAGAAATGAGAGAAAAATAGGAGACAGGAGAGAGAAATAGGAGGGAGATATGGAGAGGAGGAAATAGTAAGAATAAGATAGGATAGAGAGAAAAATCAGAAGAGGAGATGAGAGAGAAAAATAGTGGGCTTAGAGTTTAAAAACTCTAAAAGTTTTCAGTAATAGATTAATTTTCAAGTTAGTTTTTTAGTTTAATTTTTTTAAAACAATCATACCAAACAAGTATTTAAGTTGTAAAACTTAAAAAGTGTTATTGAGTCTAAAAAGTTGAATTCAAGTAAAATACTAAACATACCCTAAAGTTTTTGTTGGCTAAATCCTGAGAGACAGAAGTTGAATCCTCTCACCCTTTTTTTGTTTATTCATCTACGAATAATATGTAAGAGACTTGAATCTAAAAAACTAGATAGGGCTAGTTTGGTATTGCTATGTTAAAAAAATTAAAAATTAAAAAAAAATAAAAAATAAAACCCTACTTCTTCTGTGTTATGAGAATAAACAACTGTAAAATAAAGTTGATGAGTGTTTGGTAAACTTTTTTTGTAAAAGTACTTTAACAAAAAAAAATAGTGTTAAGAGTGTTGGTATTTAATGTGATATACTAATTGCCAAAGAGAAAAATGTAGGGGCAAAGATTGTAATTTTGTAAAATATGCGTGGGTATTCTTTTCATCAGTGGCGAAGCCAAGAATTGGCGGGGGGAGGGGCGGGTTTAAATGGGTGCAAGGTTAAAAAAAATGTAAATAATCAAATCCTTTTAAATAGTAGACAATAATAATGACGTTCATAATTTATTAATATTAATTACAAACTACCACACTATGACGAACTTAGTGAAAATAAAAGAAATTCTTGTACTCTATGACGAATTTAATAATTGGGTACATACATGTGGTTTGGTTGATTGTACATATGTAATGGGTGCATAAGTACGTCGAATGTGTTAGTATAAACATATTGATGATGCGCAATTGTTTAAAATTGAGACACATAATGAATTGAAAAAAAAAAAAAAAACTTTATCTACTAAAGCGTGAACCAATATTTATCTAGCTAGCATACATAGTTCCAATTCCATATCGAAATTATTTGGAAAAATCTAGCCTTGAAATCATTCAAAAATTCCACGAGAAAGAAGAATAGAAGGATGTTAACACTAAGGCTTCGACGATCACGTGCTACTAAACGAAAAAACAACGCATGGTCCTTGCTATCACACCTTTTATTAGAAACCAAAACGCACCATTCTACTAAATTGTTTTTTCTTTGCCCAGGTCTAAATGACGGCGTTTTGGCCTAGGTTTTGAAAAATAGAAAATAGAAATGCAACAACGCTGTTGTTGTTGCAGAGCACCAAAAACCAGAGAACCAGATGGGATTGCTCACTTCCGACAGGACCAGAGGGGCGGAACCACCACTCTTGGGCTTGATTTCAATAGAGGGGAGAGGCGGCCGCCCCTCTTTGCTTCTCTGTAGCTTCGCCACTACTTGTCATTTGAAAATTTCACTATATGGGCAATGATCACTATGCTTTGAAATAAATAAAAAAACACTTTTATCAGAAGCAATACTCTACTTCTACTTTTCTATGTTTTTCTACGATCATTGATAACAGTTTTTTAAAAAAGCATTTTTTCTTGTTTTTTTATATTAGCACCCCACAAAATGTTGAATGCATCCCACATTAAAATTTAATATTAATGACTTATTTACTCTACTATGCAATGATAATTTTGACCTTATTAGGTTTAAAATAATAATAAAATTAACTTTTAACGTATTATTTATCTCCTTCAACTATCAAAACTCATCACACCCTCCATTGTTGAATAAAACTCTAAGCAATGAAACTACAAACATGTTGATTAAGAAAAATTGTTTTTAACGAATGGAACATGAAATTGGTGTTTCGAAAGCTTTGAAATCATTATTATTGTTATTGAAAAACATTCAAATGAACCTAAACATTTTTTCAAATTATTTAGTTTGAAATCATTCGGCAAACTAAAGTTTAGATGGTTTGAAATCATTCGGCAAAATTAAAAATGACTGTTATAAGATTTGAGAAATGTGGGGTGTATAAAAAATATGGGGTGTGTATAGAAAATGTAAGGTGTATATTAAGAATGTCGGGTGTGAGGATATTATGGGCAAGGAAGTGGGGTGTATTAAGTATGTGAGGTTTATTCAACAATTTGTGAGGTGCTAATATAATAAGCCTTTTTTTTTACCAAATACATTTGATGTTCTAAATTTTTTTTAAAACTACTTTTTATAATACACCACAATCTCAACTAACCCATAATTAGAAAAATGAAAAGTCGTCAAATGTAAAGTTAAAACCAATCGGGCATGAAACGTCAATGATAGCTCATTAATTCTTTTGGGTCTCCCTCACCAAGAGATTCAGCTCATTTATTTTTACTCCCACTTTTATCTTCACATTTATTGCGTGTCTCTCAGTCTTTAATTTTCTCCGTTCTTTTTTATTTATTTATATTTTTTTAATATAAAAACGGCATTATTATTGGAGACCCATTCGAATACAATGGATGTAAACGGAAGGATTAGGCAAGTTGAACTCCACATATGTTTGGTCGTTAAACTACTCTTGTTGCCTTATTCTCTTAATTGCACAAAATGATAAGAAAGAACCAAGACCTGGAACTTAGTCATCAACTACAAATTTAGCCTACTTCATACTTGCTTAGAGTGATTAGAATAGAGTAATTTGTATATTAACTTCTCACAAAATTAAAGCATTCCCAACTATATTCCTCTCTATGCCACTTTCAAATATGTAATGGTTTCTATGGCAGTGTTGTGAAATTCTTTTGATGAAACTCACAGGGTAAGAGTGGCAAATGAGTTGGGAGCTGGAAACTGGAAGGGAGCAAAATTTGCAACTAAGGTTTCTGTGGTAGAATCCGCTATTATTGGTGTCTTTTTCTGCATACTTATCATTGCACTCCACAACAAAATTGCGTACATATTCACCTCAAGTAGTGATGTACTCGAAGCAGTTGATCAGATGTCTTATCTCTTGGCCATCACAATTCTACTTAATAGCGTTCAGCCTGTTTTGTCAGGTTCGTTTTTTATGTTAATTATTTGAATAACATGTATAGACGGTCTTATTGACCACGTCTTATAAAATAAGTGAACTCGGAGCTCAATTAGAAAGATAATCATACACATATTTGATTCACATATTGAATGCAGTCAAGCATATTATTGTAGCAATGAATTTCAATGTTAATTGGTTAGGTCTAATGTAAATTTTCTGATTATATTTCACACTTGGGCTCATAATCGACAGGAGTAGCTGTGGGTTCAGGATGGCAAGCATGGGTGGCATATATAAATCTTTTCTGCTACTACATTGTTGGGCTTCCTCTTGGATTTGTAATGGAATGGATCTTCAACTTGAGCATTGGGGTATGTTATTTCATTTATTTCCCTCCGCATAAAATTTTCTTATAATGTTCTCTCATTATATGATTTATCACATGATGACACTCGGGACACATGAAAGTGTAGCCCTTATAGCCAGTGAACCAATCATGGGTTCTTTGGTTTTTGGTACCAACATCTACTGATGGCACCAATGTTGCAGTTTTGCTTCTTGATTTTCAATTCATCGAGTGACTACCAAAGCAAAGAAATCTTTCTCAGTTGTCTGAAAGACCCTTCCATATTAATTATTATTTCATTTGGCAATACTAGGGTCAATATAATTTGGTTTTCGTAATCTAATTTCCATCAACCACGGGAAGGAATAATGACAATATCTTTGCAATTTTATTCAAATATAATTGATGTAAAAACAGGGCATTTGGGGTGGAATGATTTTTGGAGGAACTGGACTTCAAACATTGATATTGGCCATCATCACAATACGACGTGATTGGGAAAATGAGGTAATGATTGATTGAACTTAATTGAATATTCGACTTTTATCTCTTCGTTTAAACTCGTTCTCATACAGAATTGATTGAAAATTGCAGGCTCAAAAAGCCAACCAACGTGTATTGAAGTGGTCAACCCCTACGCCAGACGGGCAATCAGAGGAACAAGTACATTAGCTGCAATTGCATTCACCATTTGTTAGGCTAGATTTTGTTTTTTGAACTCTGAGACCGACTTTCAACCATTGAAAAAGAAAACAAAAACAAGAGAGGTGATGTGTTGTAATTAATGTTTAAAATATCAATATACGTAAAAATATTGATATTGTTGTAGGCCTATTTGGCATTGATATTGTTGTAGGCCAATTTGACTGAAGAATTGTAGAGAGATTGAGAGAGAGGGTGTGGCAAACATAGAGAGAATTTGGTGAATTATGCAATGTATTTTCTCACCCCATTGTGCCCTTATTTATAGTAGTAAGGAAGCTAAATTCTTTATCCCAATATGATTACAACTCTAATAGGATAACATATAATCTAAGAGATATATTAGAATCTCATGAGGATATCCAAGATAAATACACAATCACATTCCTAAACTATTAAGACTGCAACACACATTTTGAGCATGTAAATACTCAAGTAAATGATGCATCAGGTCTTCAACGATGAAGTAAGTTCGGTTAATGAAATCATCCACACAATGAGCAAATGCATGTCTTAAATTAACGGAAGAATGCATAATAGGTAAAACTCATAAAACCTCACTATGGTAAACCCCAAGGTGGGATAAAACCCATAGACCAAGGAGAACCATAAGAAGTTGCATTAAGTCAAAACTATACATCTTCTGGATGCAAATAGCAAGCTCACAAGGGTATGACCAGCTCATGATTGGTGCCTCATCAAAACTTACTTAGGTAGAAAAAAACCTAGTGGGAATGCTCCTAATTGTAGGGAAAATGAGTACATTAAGGTCACATGAGTATACTTCTAAATACACCCCCTGAGTTTGACAAAACTTCAAATAAAAACTATAAGCATTGCATATGAGATAGTTAGACATACGAATTTCTCGGACAAGCTTCTAGAAGATAGACTTCGGCAATTACGTCGTGTAAAGATTGGTAAGGTTATCGGAGATCAGACTGGTTGACTTCAATCTCTTGATGCTTTGCTGATGTGATTTAAACGTAATATTCCTTGGCGTTGACTTCGTTGATGTATCATGTCTTGGTCTGTTTGATACTGCGACATAGTCTTCATAGATCGTCATTGGGATTCAACGATAGATGAAAACATCAAGTACTTCAGATATGCTCAACAATAGCTCTTAACCATAACTGACTTGTGGCATAGTGACGTAAGGTAAGTCTTTGAACTATTCAAAGATTTCGCAACTAAGGTCATATTGTGAACCTCCAAGATATTGCGGTATTTGTAACGATAAAGACATAATCATTTGGGGATTGTGCCTTGTGAGAGTTTGATAAGTAACCAGCGTCAGCATAACAAACAAGGCAAGCATCATTCCAAGGATTAGAGGGGTTGGATTTGCTTGGGATGCAAAGGGATAAGCCTAATTCCATAGTACCTTTAAGGAAGCAGACATACGTCTTTAATACCAATTCAATGGTTGGGGTGTAGGCGCGATGTTGCATCTTTACCGATAGATCAATAACGAAGGAGGTAGCCTATTTAATGTAATGAGCTAAGTACAACAAAAGCGCAAAGTTTAACTCAGATATGGAATTTCAGATTCCATAACCTTTTCAAGGGTTTCATTTGCATATAATGTATGAAAGATTATAGGTATACTCAAAGATAACACCTACTAAGTGTAGTTCAACTGGTAGACCAAAATGTCGTCTAAACAACGCTTGAATGTCAAGCCAAGGCATAAACACGTTTTCTCAAAATCCATCATCTCAAACTTCATTTTCAGGTGCGAGGTAGTTTTCTCAAGCTCTTCCAGAGTCTTAGTGACATTCATGTCATCGACGCAAACTCTAGCAATTCGGAATAAGACTTCTTAATTTAACACGTAAGGGCATAAAATTCCATATCCCTAACTCATTAAATAATCACTTAGACTGGTATATCATATCTGCTGGATTGTTTCAATCAGTAAAGTGAATGCCTCAAATGAGTTTAGAGAGTGTTCCGTGGTTTGGAACTATTTGAACCAGTCTATGTAATTCTTCAGGAACTTACATGTAAGCCTCTGTATTAATATCTTCATGAAGAAAAACTAACCACATTCATAATGCTGTTGTTAATCATCAGGCGTAAGACGTGCATTACATCGCACTATTTCATTCATCTCATTACGCTTCATTTCCCACTTGTAACACAACAGGGTTACCTTGGGTAGTGTAGGAATGACAGGTCCAAACACAATTTGGTAAGGAATTTAACTTGGATTGTGATTTTGGTTGTCCAATCAGTTCTATGATTGCACTAACCAACATCATACCGTTCGATATCGTTGCTTTTCATTTATGTTGATAACTATCAAATAAGTAAAAACATCACCAATGATAATCTCATTCCAATTCCATCTCATCCAAACTACTATACTAGACCAAGACTTCAAATCTCGGGAATAATAAGGATTAATCTCATAAGATGGAAATGATTGAGATATCGATCAAGTATGGATTCAATTTGTGCCGTGTTCTTCCTCTTCTTGGTCGGGCCTCGAATATGGTGAAACCTTCAGCTCGGTTGTCAATCACTCTACTTCATTTAATTTTGGCCTTATCAATTCAATTTCAATGACACTTCTGCTAGTTGGATGTTCAGAATGCATGTCTTCATGGATTTTTATTTGAGGATGTTTATATGTAACAACCTCGTGTTTTTGTAGATCCTCAATTTTCTCACCATGTTTGCAAACTCCATTGCTCTCTTTATGGCCTTAAGCAGGCACCTAAAACATGGTTTCAATGTTTTTCTACTTATTTGGAGGACCTAAGGTTTCATCCGTCTCATGCAGTTACATCTCTATTTGATGGGAACACTAGCCAAATGTGGGATTATTAGTTGTAATCAAAAAGTTGCAAAAGGGGTATTAAGACAGTCTAAGGGTTTTGCTCCACATCAAAATGAATCTTAATGTTGGAAATATGAGGTACAAGAAAAGATTAAGGTTGAGAAGGAATGTTGTAAAGCATTTACAAGGATAGAACTAATGAATACTATAAGATGTATAAGACAGCGAAGAAGGAAGTAAAGAACACTGTGACAGAAGTGAAGCTAGTGGCTTTTGACAACATGTATAAGCGATTAGATACCAAAGAATGAGAGTTAAATATCTCAATATTGCTAGAGCAAGTGAAAGGAGGATGAGAGACTTAAACCAAGTAAGGTGTATCAAAGATGTGAATGAAAATGTTCTAACTACGGAGAACGCTGTTCAAGACAGATAGAGAGCTTGTTTTCATAATCTATTCAATGAAGGACACAACATGAGTACTTATTTGGGTGAGTTGAGTTACTCAGAAAAGTGTAGAAAGATACTCATTTTACTATTGAATCAGGAAAGAAGAAGTGGTTGTAGCTTTAAAAAAGATGAAGCAAAGAGAAGTAATGGGTCTTGACAATATACTGATTGAAGTGTGGAAGGTCTTGGGAGAGACAGGTATTGCAACAAACCTTTTTCAATAAGAATGAAAAAATAAAGAAGATGCCCAATAAGTGGCAAGAAAGCACTTTGGTGCCTATCTACAATAGTCAGGGCAACATACTTTGGTGCCTATATGAGTATTAAGTTAATGAGCTATATAATGAAGCTTTGGAGAAAGTAATTGAGCATAAACTGAGACAAGAGACACAGATCTTAAAGAATCAATTCATGTTCATGCTAAGGCCCTCAACAATGGAGAAAATCTATCTCTCGTGAAGATTGGTAGAACTATATAGAGATTTGAAAAAGGATTTGCACATGGTCTTTATAGATTTGAAAGAAAAAAAAAACGTATGATAGTGGTCCCAAAAGAAATTCTTTGGAAGAATCTAGAGGAGAAAGGAGTACAAGTAGCATATATCCAAGCAATAAGGTATATATATATATATATATGATGGAGTAAAGCTGCATCAAGAACCCATGAAGGGCGGACTGAAAGCTTTCCCATAATCATAGGGTTACGCTAAGATTAAGCTTTAAGTCATTACCTTTTTGCATTGGTAATGGACGAGTTAATAGGACATATTCAAGATGATATCCCTTGGTGGCTTTTCACATATGATATGGTGCTGAAGGATAAAACACATGAGGGAGTAAATGCGAAACTTAATCTTTGGCGAGAAGTGTTGGAAGTTAAAGGTATTCACCTAAGTAGGTCAAAGACAAAATTTCACTTGGATATATCTTGCAAAATAATAGAAAATTTGATGGAGATCTCAATCATAGAATACAATCTAGATGGATAAGGTGGAATAGTGCATCGAGTGTGTTGTGCGATCGTCGTATGCCACTAAAGTTCAAGGATGAATTCTATAGGATAGCAATCAGGCCATCGATGCTTTTTGCACAGAATGTTACATGATAAAAAAGAAACACGTGAAAAAATGAGTGCAACAAAGATATGAATGGTTCGCTGGATGTGTGGGCACACGAGAAATGATAGAATTAATAACGAGCTTATCCGAGGTAAAGTAAAAGTGACCACAATTGAGGATAAGATGAGAAAAAATTGTTTAAGATGGTTTGAACATGTGAATCGAAGAATTATAGATGCTCCAGTTAGAAGAGACCTAGGAAGACTTGGAGAAAGATTATAAGAAAATATATTAAGTACTTGAAACTAACAGAAGACTTTAGCATAAAACCGAGCACAATAACATTCTAGGATTCATGTAGCGAACTCCACTTAGTGGTATAAGACTTGAATATTGTAGCGTTGGTGCTCTTTAATATCTTATTCTCGCATGCCCAAATATCACTTTTGTCGTTAATCAAGTTTGCCAATTCGTTCACCTACCAACCACTCATTGTTGGCTTCCGTTAAATGCCTTCTTCGTTATCTTATGGGAACTTCTCACCATGACAGGTGGATATTGTTTGTATCTTGGTTCTAATCTTGTTTCTTGGAGTGCAAAGAGGTAAAATTGTGCATCTCGGTCTAGCACTAAGGTCGAGTATCAACAACTTGCTATGAAAGCTGCTACTATATCATTGTTTCGAATGTTGTTTCGTGATCTTCACCACCACCACACTCTTTTGCGATAGTATTAGTGTTATTTCATTAGCTTCAAATCCAGTGTTTCATGCCCGAACTCATCATGTTGAGGTGGATTATCACTATGTTCATGAGAAAGTAGTTTGAAAAGAAGTTGATTTTAACTATGTCTCTATCCATGATCAGATATTTTCACTATGGGACTTTCCATCAATCGCTTTCATTTTCTAGTCTCCAGGCTTCTTGTTCTAGCTCTTCTCGTCAATTTGC